ACACTGTGTCTTCTCTCCAGGAGAGCAACACACTGTGTCTTCACTCCAGGAGAGCAATACACTGTCTTCTCTCCAGGAGAGCAGAAACACACTGTGTCTTCTCTCCAGGAGAGCAACACACTGTGTCTTCTTTCCATGAGAGCAATACACTATGTTTTCTCTCCAGGAGAGCAATACACTGCCTTCTCTCCAGGAGAGCAATACACTGTGTCTTCTCTCCATGAGAGCAATACACTTTCTTCTCTCCTGGAGAGCAAAACACTGTGTCTTCTCTCCAGGAGAGCAACACACTGAAGTCTTCTCTCCAGCAGAGCAACACACAGTGTCTTCTCTCCAGGAATGCAACACGCTGTGTCTTCTCTCCAAGAGAGAAACACACTGTGTCTTCTCTCCAGGAGAGCAACACACTGTGTCTTCTCTCCAGGAGAGCAATACACTGTCTTCTCTCCAGGAGAGCAATACACTGTGTCTTCTCTCCAGGAGAGCAATACACTTTCTTCTCTCCTGGAGAGCAAAACCCTGTGTCTTCTCTCCAGGAGAGCAACACTGTGTCTTCTCTCCAGGGGAGCAACACACTGTGTCTTCTCTCCAGGGGAGCAACACGCTGTGTCTTCTCTCCAGGAGAGCAACACACTGTGTCTTCTCTCCAGGAGAGCAATACACTGTCTTCTCTCCAGGAAAGCAATACACTGTGTCTTCTCTCCAGGAGAGCAATACACTTTCTTCTCTCCTGGAGAGCAAAACACTGTGTCTTCTCTCCAGGGGAGCAACACGCTGTGTCTTCTCTCCAGGAGAGCAACACACTGTGTCTTCTCTCTAGGAGAGCAACACACTGTGTCTTCTTTCCAGGAGAGCAATACATTCTGTCTTCTCCCCAGGAGAGCAATGCACTGTCTTCTCTCCAGAGCAACACATTGTGTCTTCTTGGCCTCACGTTTTCAACTGACATGAAGCTGCATCTATTGTAAAGAAATTTGGGTCACTGTGTCGTGCCAGATAATTTTTCTTGTTAGAATCCATCTTACACATTCGTCTGCGCATTGAATATTGTTGCCATATTTAGTCTGGCGCTCCTGCTGTACATCTCGGTATTGTTGACAAAATCCAAAGAAGTACCTGTAATGCCATCTCGAGTTCAGTCGCTTTCTCACCGACATGACATGGCTTCCCTCTGTCTTTTCTACAAATATTTTTATCGCAACTGCTCTGACATGCTTTATTCCCTGGTGCCCCAACTACGTGAATTTAAGCGTGCTACTTGATTGGCATCTAGGTCCCACCCTTTTACTTTGAAACATGTGCCTATTTTCATTTCATGTGTTGCTAATAGAATTGAATACTCTTTGATTGGCAGTTGTTACTACCGCAATGATTCGACCGATCAATTCTCCCTCATTTTCCAAGTCTACTGTCAGTAAGTAAACACGGGCTGTCTTTTTTCTACAAAAACGTGGCCAAACAGTAAGGAATTGTAGCTAATACAGCAATCGGCGTAAATTCATTCTCATCAATACGGGCCACTCACGTGATACTATTCTCAACAACCCGCACAATGCCGGCGGTTCCATATTTATACAAGGAGATACACAGTAAACGATTATTTGTGTACTGACAGTCAAGAAGAATTAGCAAAATAGGATGAAGACGGAAATATTGTTTCCGTCGGATTCTGCTCAGGCAAAATTGCTGGGTGTGTATAGCCCTGAAAAGTAATCCCACATAACTTCTCATAGGTGAAAGAAACAAAATGGATAACTAAGAAATGTTTATCTTTCTATATGTTGTAACCTAGGAAAGGCTATTGAATAGAATAATCACACAAAGGTTAGTAATGAACGATAATACTTAGGACAGGAACAACACATATAAGATTCGCCAGCGGCGCGTAGAAGTAGTAATCAACTGCTAGAAGTGAGTCAAGTGAATTCCACAACGAATCTCCAACTGCAGGATATCCACCAACCACCCCACACGGTCAGATGCGGCACAAGGCCGAATTTGATGCGGGGTATCCTAGCCCGTAGGCTCGGTCAAAATTTCCCCGTAGACTCCGTAAAAAACGGGGTCGGGTAGTTCTTTCCCGAGATGAGACTCTGCCCTTCGGCATAGCATCGTCTGGAGATCCTTTCTGCCCGGAGGCAGAGTGTTTGAGAAAGCTGGAGACGAATCTCCAACTGCAGACCAACATACTGTATTTACTACTGTATTTATGTGAATGGGAAAATACCTGTTATCGTCTGTACGTATGCTACCACGCTATATTTGTTGCTAATTATAAATATTTGTTATATCATTATTCATTTTTCGGCTTGTCACCTTATCTTAGATGCATGTTGTGTTTCGGTTTTATAAGCGTAAACAAATACAAAATAGATTTCAGTTGCTCCTTGTAAGTTTCAAGGAGAATATCCAGTGAAACGCAGGAATTGTCTTCACAGGACATAAAGATTTTTCATGTTTGGAGATTGATAATAAAAAGCGAAATTATTATCTTACATTGAACAGTTGCAAATACTAATAGTTGCTGTAAACGATATTTCTGAAAAACAAAAAAGTGGTATACCTCTCATCTTGCTCTATGAGGAAAAAATATTCTTAAGATAAAATCTTCTTCTGGGTTCAATAAGTACAAATTTGAAGGCCCTAGATGAAACATGAAGAGTAAGTAGACAAACACTTCCATATTATATATATATATATATATATATATATATATATATATGTGGGGGGGGAGTAATTCTGTCTTTCTTCTACTGTTACCAAGGTTACTTGGTGACAAATTTGTATTTACATCAATTTTTACCTCGTTCCTTCAAGCTTCAGTTTACCTCGTTCTCGCACCATCGGACATAACCTTTTTTTTTCTAATCTAAACATTATCCCTATCTTGCTTTCTCGTTTTCCCCTATTCTATATTCCTTATTCTGTATTCCACTATTCTGTATTTAACCCCACACGGCTGTTGATTCTCCCCCCCCCCTCACCCAATTATTTTTATGTTCTAACAACTTTGGTTTTTGAACTTTTTCCTTATTTTTTCGATTTTATTTTCCCTCTAAACTTTCATTTCCTCATTTGTTTTCTCCCTATTCTTCTCTCTATCACTCTCTCTTTTACATCACTGCTCCCCTTTTCCTACTTATTCTGCTCTCTTTTACATCGATTCTCCCTTTTCCTTCCTATCACCCCCTCTTTTACATCACTGCCCCTCTTTCCTCCCTATCACCCTATCTTTTACATTGCTTCTCCCTTTTCCTTCCTATCACCCTCTCTTTTACATAACTGCACCTCTTTCCTCCATATCACCCTCTCTTTTACATCGCTTCGCCCTTTTCCTTCCTATCACCCTCTCTTTTACATCGCTTCTCCCTTTTCCTCCCTTTCACCCTCTCTTTTATATCACTGCTTCCTTTTCATCCCTATCACCCTCTCTTTAACATCACTGCTCCCTTTTCCTCCCCATCACCCTCTCTTTTACATCGCTTCTCCCTTTTCCTCCCTTTCACCCTCTCTTTTATATCACTGCTTCCTTTTCCTCCCTTTCACCCTCTCTTTAACATCACTGCTCCCTTTTCCTCCACATCACCCTCTATTTTACATCGTTGTTACCGTTCCCTCCCTATCACTCTCTCTTTTACATCGCTTCTCCCTTTTCCTCCCTTTCACCCTCTCTTTTATATCACTGCTTCCTTTTCCTCCACATCACCCTCTCTTTTACATCGCTTCTCCCTTTTCCTCCCTTTCACCCTCTCTTTTATATCACTGCTTCCTTTTCCTCCCTTTCACCCTCTCTTTTACATCACTGCCCCCTTTTCCTCCTTATCACTCTCTCTTTTGCATCGCTGTTCCTTTTTCCCTATCCCCCTCTTACCTTTTTTCTTCTTTCTCTCCCTTTCAGATCTCGTCTTTCTTCTTTTACTTCCTATTGTTTTTCATCTATTTTTTGTCCTTCTTCGTTGTTTCTGTCTTCATCCTATTTTGCTAATTCTTCTTGTACCCTTTCCGCCTTCTTTCTTTCATTCTTCTCCCTTATCTCCTTTTCCCTCTCCGTCTTCCCACCTTTGTTTTATTTTTTTATATCCTTCGCTTACCAACTTTCTCTTCCTTTCTTCTTATTTCATTAATTTCTTTGTCGTTCTTTTCTTCTTTATATTGAATTGCGATCATTGACGAAAAATTATGCCATTTTTTTGTTTCTTTTCTGTCCCATCTTTTGCATCTTTGCCTCCACACTTTCATGTTCCTCTCACTCGATGTCCTTCCTTCCTTCCTTCCTTCCTTCCTTCCTTCCTTCCTCAACCTTTTTTTCCGCTCATTACCTCCTAACTCCGAAACCCTCCGATTTCCGTCCTCTTATCATTCCGATATTTTTATTTTCATTCTGATGTGGTATCCCCTTCATTCTCTCAACATCGCAGATTTCCCTCTGCAATCAATGTAATTTTCTTATTCCTCTCTCTCTTCCACTCTCTCTCTTCCTCTCTTTCTCTTCCTCTTACTCTCCATATATATATATATATATATATATATATATATATATATATATGTATCAAACGCTATCCTTCTCTCTCTCTCAACATTTAATATCCTCACTTTCTCCCCCATTCCTCTCTGTCTTTCAACGTTTCTCTCTTTCTTTCTATTTCATTTTTATTCCCAGATAATTTTCCCTTATTTGGCAATTTTTTCTCTGTTTATTCACTTACACACACACACACACACACACACACACACACACACACACACATATATATATATATATATATATATATATATATATATATATATATATATATATATATCCCCGTTCATTCCCTCTCAGTTTTCTCAGTTTACCCTTTTCTTTTGCATGTCACTATATTCAATATCATTGCACCCCCCCTCTCTCTCTCTGTCTCCATCATTTAAAGCTTTATTACCCTTAGACCCTTTAACCTTAGAACATTCCTCTTTATTCTCTTTCATTCTCTTCTGATTCCCTGTCTTTTCCGACATCTTCCATGATTCCGTCACCATTTCTTCTCTCCCCTGTCGTTCCCCAGCCTTACCCACCGACGTTCTTCATCCCTACCCATCCTCTTCTTGTCTCTCTTCCTTTTATGACCATACCAGCTGCTGCAAGTCCCACACCCTATCGTTTAGCGCTCTTTCCTCACCGCCATCGCCGCCTTCCGTCGTCCGGTAATCCGTAGTCACAGCCCGATTAGCGCTATCCGACCGGCTGGACATTGCCGTGCTCGTAGAAGAGGGCCCAGAGCCAGCGGCATCTCTCTCGGCAACAAAATGCCAATCATGCGGAACTACCATTTTCACATAACGCACGCTTCTTTGATTCGACGCAGTTACTAGCGGCTCAACAATCCGGCCCAGTGAAAATTACAGCCAAGCAGAAAGTCTTCGGATCGAACCAAAAGCTAATCGTTAGTTTTTCTTGTCGTTTTTCTTGTTTTTATTTTTCCTCTTGGCTTTCTTTTTTTTATGTTTTCCATATTTACTTCATATTTTTTTTTTGTCTCTTCTCGTTCTGACATTCGTGATTTTCTTCGTTTCGATATTTCTCATATGAATTCTCGTTCGTTTCTCGAAATTTCTTATTTTGTTACTTTTTTCTTTTTTTTCTTCCTATTTCTTTCCGTTTTGTTGTTTCTTTTATTCCTTTTTTCATATTTTCCTTTTTTCCTATCATCGTTTTTCTTTATTTTTTCTTTCTTTTCTTCTTTCTATTTTCTTTTTTTTTTCTTTCTTTCTAAAGTTTTTCTTCTAACTTTTTTTCTTTCTTTCTTTCTTTTCCTCTTCTAACTTAATTTTCTTTT